CGCTTTTGAAGTTGATTCTTGACCTGTGACTGTGAGTTTTTAATTTTCTGATGATTTTTATTGATTTTCTTTTCGTAATTTGTTTATTCTTTTGAATGTATCTTGTTTTTCCTGGACCTCTATACAAAACCATCGGGGTACTGAGGGAGATATTTTAAGCTTTTGCTTCTCCCTCAAATAGAAATGGTTTTGTTTTTAATGGCTACCGGGGCCGGTACCCCCTGAAGACGTCGGCTTCGGTGGTCATATTTTTATTTTATTTCATTTGTTTTGTATAGCCATTATAACTTGCTTTTTTAAAAACACTTATACAAAATGAAAATATTTAAAATTAGCATACTTCCTCATAGACAATGGGCATTTCCAAGCTAACTTCTTCCTCATCAGTTTCAGGTTCTGGAGGATCTCTTAAGAAATTAACAAAGTATGGCTCTTCAGGCAAAATTTCCAAAAATTCTTCCCCTAATTCTGTTTTTACTACTTGGCTCATTTTATTCAAAAACCAATTTTTATCCTCTTCATTTGTAAATCTGAAAAGTGATAAGTCATTAAATTGAGAGTTTTATTTATTGAACATGAAAGAGAATTCGAAAGTTTCACTTTTTAGTTGGTTTATAATGTAGTAAATAAAAATTATGAGAAGCAAAACATGCTAAATAGTTATTAAACCTTCGTTTTTGGAGCTTAACATGATGAAACCTGTAGTTTTGGTCCACCTGTTGTACCAACAATAAGCAAATGGTTAATGTGAAACCATTGTCTTTTATTTTTTTTTAAATTATAAAAAGTGTGTTATTTTTTTGATGAACTTGGAAACTATACTTTTCTTTAAACAATATTTTATACTTGAATAAGGTAAAAAAATATGGTAACAATATTAAGTCATATCTGAATGGAACAATAAAAAAATATTTTAGAATTTAGCTTATCGATGCACAACCTTTTAAGTGAAGGAGTTAGTGAGTATTTAGACATGAGTATTTAGATGCGTTGCAGCATTCATAATACTTTTTTACATGAACATCAGATTTCCATAATAATGTACATTTTTTTATCAATGAACTTAGAAATATATTTGGAAAAATTTAAATACTTTTAAACAATAGAATTAAAATCATTCAAAAAGAAAATAAAAAATAAATGTAATTTTTTTTAAAATCAAAATCTAAACATTGAGGAAAAGTAATATTTTAATATAATGTTATTATGATACCAAATTTCATTTAAAAAAAATTCAAGAATTAAAAATACTGCAACAATTATAGAATTAAAGTTAAAAAATACATATTTTTATAAATAATAAATTCAAATAAAACATTTCAATAAAATTTAAGGTAACTTTGAATTTTTGATTTCCTTAAAATGTACTTTAAAATCCTTATTATTTTGCTTTGTAACTTGTACCCTTTACTCATTATTTTTTTAAATTAAAACTTTTTACTCGTTACTTTCGCCTAAAGTACTTGTATGCATTACTTTTAAAAGTAACATTCCCATATATGAACATAGCATAACACCTTCAATTCCATTCTATTATGAAGGGAGCTTCTATTACGAACAATTAATAAAGTACAAGACAAAATCACAGTATAATGTTAGATAAATATAACAGGGACTTACCTGTCTGCAATGACTCTAGTGCACTCATGTTTCCACAGTGCAAGCAAATTATGCTTTGTGCTACATTCTGCCTTTTCAATTTTCAACATTCCTTCCCATATGCGAGAAAGATCTCTTAAATTGAATACATAATGGAACTTAGCAGGAGTTGGCAACATTTTTATCTGAAAAAATATACAGTTGTAAACATTTAATGGTCATTTATGACAAGGAAGACACACATAATGGCTACAATTCAATGTCTTTTACCTAAAATGTATATATTTTTTTGAATACAATTTCAAAAAAAATGCATTTTTACTCAAACTTAAAATTTGTTTTTCCCCTATTTTATTACAATTTTAATATTTTAAGACTTTAAAATATAAAATTAACATTTTTAAGAAATGAAGACTGCATCAAAATGTTCAGTTAGTTCCTGACATGCAAAATTATGTATTTAAAGAAGTGGGTGGGAAAGATAGTTAAAAAATTGAGCACAATGCAGATGAAATTGAGGGTTATTCATTAAAATTACACATACTTTGCACATAATTCAATTTATGAGAAGATTCCACAAATCTACCTTTAATCTGAGAAAATTCCAAATCTACTTTTAATTAGAGAAAATTCCAAATCTACTTCTGAGAAGATTTAAATCAACTCTTACTTTCGTTAAAACTTTGATTTGAAGAATTTTTATATGTATTATAACTAAGCAGTTAAATCATTCTTTTGCTTTGGTAATTCATAGCAAAAAAATAACATTCATTGCTTAACATTATTTTTACAAAAAAATTTATGCTAGAAAATTGAATAGTGAAAAAGTGGTAACTTTGAGAATCAGTGGATACGGAGAAGTAGTAGAAAAAATAAAGATCTGATGATATACGCAGTAGTTTTAATGCAAAATAGTTAGAAAAAACGGAAATGAGACAACTGAAGAAAAAAGTAGAAAAGAAAAAAAATACTTAATTGGTTATTGTTAAAAATAAAGACGTTCCTAAAGAGGTTCAGTGAACGATACTGTAATAAAAGATGTCTAAAATCACCAGAAATTTGACAAACACACAATTTTGTTTAATTAATCTATGCAATTTTTAAAATTTTATTTAAGATGTAATGGCAAAAAACCATAAAAAATGAAAAGTATTCAAAAATGACAAACTGATGCATCTCATTTTGGCCAAAAATAAATAAATGAATAATAATAAGTTTTAAACTAAGTTTTTGTATACTATATATTCATTATTTAATATTTTTTTTGTAAGATTAAGACACAGAGGATCAAGATAAAATGGACTGAAAATAAAATGCAGTAAACTGCTTTTACTTTTGCTTTTTAACAAAGAAACTTTAGCATAATATCGAAGGCATTTATGTCACTTGAAAGTCACATTTTGTCACATTTTTTAAGGAACTAAACTTTTCTCTGAAAAATTCACAGCAAATATATATGTCATTTTTTATAGCACGCATTTTGTAATGGAAGAGCAGATTATTATCATCACACTATTATCAAAATCTGTTTAAAGATTCAGGATAAACCATATGATGAAAAGCTTTGCTATATAATAAAATATTGCAAAATATTAGAAAACACTATGTTCTCATATTTTAACAAGAACTTTCAGAAAGGCACTCAGCACAAATGTTTAGTTTAAAATGTTAGCATTGTCACAATGAAAACAATTATACTTTTGTTTCTTGCCATAAGATTCTTGTGGCAGGAACAAAAGGTAACACAATTTCAGATATTTCTTTGGAAAATCGCTCTTCACAAAAGTATCCACTTCCTATTACACCTGGAATAAAAACAATTACATTTTTATCAAAAAGCAATAAATAATTGCTATTTTAATTGAAAAATAATGTTACTGAAGTATTTTAACTCTGTGAAAGTGCTCCAAAGTTTGGACCCCTTAATGTTAATTTTATTTTCTACATATTTTGCTATATCTCAAACACTTTTTAATCTAATTTTAAAATTTTCAATTAGCTTAAAATTTTTCAAGATACAGTGAAATGTGAAAAAAGTAAAATTAATATTAAGGGGTCATAACTTAGATCAAACTATTGGGACCATATTTTCCAGATTGCGGCTACCCCCTTTTATTTTGAGAGTTAGAAATCCGAATCTGTTGAAGAAAAGGTATGTTTATTCAGAGAGAGTATGCATTTGCGTCGGATTTCGTAATTAAAAATATCCTCTGTACTTATTAATTAGCATTCTTGAGGTTACCCCTTTAAACCATTCTAGAACGCGAAAATTCGATTATTAGGTCAAAAATTATTCAGGGTGGTCCATTTTTTCTGCGCACTGTACATCTAAACCACAATTGGTTGATAAATTGAACAATTCAGAGAAAGCCTCATCTTGCAGGTATAATCACATAATTTTTCAGGATTTGAAAAAATATTTAAGTATTTGAAATGACAATTGAGCCTTAAAAAACAAACAATCAATAATAAACTAAATAAACAAATAAGATGCTAGTGATACATCATACATTAAAAAGACAAAAATAAGTAAAATGCAACTCCACCAAATATTTTGTCAATGGATGTTGGTGCTGGCAAAGTGCAGTTAAAAACGGAAAACTGTCGCTTTAATCTGCTTGGAATGTCATTTCGTCCTCCTCCAGGTTGAATCATAGCAGCTATATACTGGATATCTGTTATAGTAGTGAAATCTCCTGGTTTATCTAAACTATAAAAACCTTTGTTTTCCATCAGTTGTCGAACTATTTCATTGGTCACCTGAAATATGTAATTTCTAACTTAATATCATGATATCTAAAATTGGAAAAACATTCTCGCAGAAACTTATTTTGAATCCTTTGATGAAAATATATCAATTTAATAAAGTTATAGCATACTGCTCTGAATTTCAATACAAATTTTTCTTTTCTTCCAATTTTTTCAAGAAATATATTAAGGAACCATATGAACTCTAACATGATTATACCAATAAACTCTTACATGAAAATAATCTTGTTGATTAGCTTTTCCAAGTAAAAGTTTGTAATTTTAAATACATGTAAAGTCATCAAAAAAAAAAGTTTTATCATCATGCTAAGAATACTGAAAGAGCAAATGAATAATATAGATAATAACATTTAACACAAAGAAAAAAAATTAAATAAAATTAAAATATTTTACCTGATCACCCCATTCATTAATTTCAGGCATATTAATATCATCAATGAAAATTGCCA